GGACAATAGAACAATAGACCAAGAATAGACTCAATGCTATTCTAGACCGTTAACACGCGCGCGTATATATATATATATATATATATATATAACAACAACAACAACTACCCAGTAAAATCCCACCAGGTGAGGTCTGGGGAGGGTAATGTGTACGCAAACCTTACCCCTACCCAATAGGGCAGAGAGGCTGTTTCCGATAGACCCTCGGCTCAGAGAAAAAGAAAACAAGAAAAGAAAAGACAACTCATTAGTAACTCCAGTAGCAACCGTAATAGTAATGAAAGCATAACAACCAAGAGATGAAAGACATGCAATAACAGTAATCAGTATCTAAGGCCCAGTATATATATATATATATATATATATATATATATATATATATATATATATACACACACTAATGTTGTACAACAAGATTGCATTGTCACTATAATTTAACCTTTAGCACGTTATTACTTGCTTTATTTTCCATAATAATAATTCCACGTACGCGTGTATTATTATCTGTATTTATTTTTTAAAATAACTTGCTAGTGTAAAAAGTTCTTTTACGAAATCAATATATAAAAGTTAAACTCTATTAATATAGTAAAAACGGGCTACATGGTATTGCTTTTTAACAGGGCTGGCCAAATTCAAGAAAGTGATAGGTGAATGATAAAATTAGGGGTGCTTACGTCCATAATAAAAGTAATTGGAACATGCCCTACTTAGACTAATTTATGCAAAAATAATATGACTTAGGCAAATATTTAATAGCCAAGAATTACTCAATGATGTGACCTCTCCTTATTTAGTTTCTGTTCCCATCTGTTTTTCACCTGAATCATTTTTTAAATTTACAGCATGGGTGATGGGAAATGCCGTGTACATATGCTTTTCACTCCTTCACCTGCTAATAAGGGTTACGGTGAAGTGATAAATATTTTTTATATATCTTCGAGCTTTAGATATAAAATGATCTTTGTCAGAAAGCGTTTTATCTCGATACGTAAACGCAACAATAATAACTAATGACTAGCTGATTTAACATTGTGTACACAAAGACCATTTCCTTAAGAATGTTGGAAAATGTTAAATGTCATATCCCAATTTCCCTAAAAATCAGATTTTCTTCCTCTCAAAATTTTCCTTTTATTATGTGTTGATTAAACGTGATTTATACTTGAACTTAATTTCCATTATATAATGTTAAATGACTCGAAACAACTTAATATCCATTGTCTAAATTTAAATGACTTGAAACTTAACAAAGAAATGCAACGATAACGACCCGATAAGATACTCTGAAAATAAAGAGTACTATTCTGTATTAATGATTGTAGTGTAACCAAATGCCTTAGGCAGAGGCGGATGCAATACATGTTTTAATCGGTCCAACTGAATCCAATATTTTTACGCAAAGTAAAAATAGATATGCCAGAAATTACTAAGACTAATAATGAAATATTACATTCTAAATACATAATTACAAAAGTGTAACGAATTCGCGGTGAGAACATAAAGGTTGGACGAATGTTTAAATTTTAAATTCACTTCCGCCTATCAACAAAGTCGAATGCATGACAGGTTCAACAGATTCAACTGAACCAGAATTTTTTATATGGAATATAAATATATATGTGAAAAATTACTAAAATTTTCACTATTATTACATTCTCTGAACTCATAATTCTAATAATACAATGAGTTCAATGACGAGAACATAAAAGTTAAATATTTAAATCCCGAACCCGCCACCTACACACAAAGGCACAATTTTTTATCTATGTTTTTTTTTCAATGTTGGCTAGGTTTGTGTTTCAAGAGCATCTTTCTCAGCTCAGCAGCATCAATTTCCTTATTAGCATGAGTCTCAGGCCTGTAATAACCTGTAACAGGATCTGGTACCCATGATGTTGTCTTGTTTGATTCCTCTACACCTTTCTTCATCATCACATTGCTTCTCACAACCCCTCCTCTTACTACACCTTGTGATGCAGCTGCATATCCGCGCCTGTACGATCAAAGACGGATTCAGAATTTAAATATGATAAATCAGAGGTAGAGCCAAAAATTTTATTAAGGGATACCAAAAATATATATAAAAAAAAACACGAAAAAATAAGAAAAATCAACATATAGTATATATGCATTGACCTAGCTAAACAGTAATATAATTTTTCAGCGAAGGAGATGTCAATTGATTTCCCTAACATAAGGCGGCTCTGCCGCTAGGGTGAATATACATCATTATATGTTCAGAAAATAGTATAAAAGGAGGTGCCACCTCTACACCAAAAAATAGTACTCCCTCCGTTTCAATTTATGTGAACATATTTGACTGGCGCGGAGTTTAAGAAAAAATGAATACTTTTGGAATTTGTGGTCCTACACAGGTCAAAAAGGGGTCCAGAGTATTTATGTAGTTATAAAAACTTCTCATTAATGGTATAATAGGAAGTGTAAGCTAAATTGTTTCCTAATTTAGAAAGGGGTCATTCTTTTTTGAATGGACCAAAAAGGAAATAGGTTCACATAAACTGGAACATAGGGAGTATAAAAGTTTTAAATTTACTTTTTTCCTAAAATATATAAAATATCTTAATTTTATTCTTCATTATAATTTGGGGACATTTATGCACTTTTCGTTGGCAAATTATTTTGTGTTCTTTCTTAACTTTGAGGGCACTCTAGCATGAACAAGATAATGGGAAAAAATAAATTTAAATTTACTTATTTACTTTTAGCTATAATTTAAAACAACCTTTAATTATACTTTAGGTTTGAGCCTCATTAAGATCAAGGGCAAATACAACTAACGACAAGGATACAAATAACAGGTAAAATTAAAATATTTCATACAATAAAGAATTATTTTTTATCCTATTGTTTTAAAATATAATGACCCAAAAATTAAAATCCCTTCTTTTATTTTCTTTCAAGAAAAAAAAAAAGTGGAAAAAAGCATGGAAATTTTACCTATTAATAGCTGCAGAAACAGAGTCTACAATAAAAGCAGAAACAATCTTGGAGTTGGAGAAAAAACGAGCCATTGTTATTGAGCTAAGAATCGAAGCGAAAAAAATTTAAAATATCAATAGGAAATTAATTAAAAGCTGCAGCGGAAGCTATGCAATTACGTATTTTTCAGATAATTAATTAACTTCCGCAGCAGCAAATTTAAACTTTTTTTATGAGGAAAATATATGAGAGAAATAGAGGTATATATAGAAAAAATATTTGGAGGAAGAATTAAAGAAAGAAGGAAGAAAGAGTCAAATTACCAGTTGAGTTATAAATGGGGACGCGTTAACGACGGCTTCCAAGAAGCTGAAAAGGTCTTATTGTTAATGAACACCTGGTCGCTGTAGCTAAGAGTCGTCTCAAGCAATAGCGAAGGCAGAAATTTCGCTAAGAGGTTCAAAAAAGAAAAAAAATTAGAATAATTGAATTATTGACCTTATAAAATTTTTGAATCCCTTAACCAATGAACTATGCTTTTCAACTATGTTAAGAGGATTCAAAATATAATTTAAAGAGGTCCAAAACAGATTTTGCCTTATATATCCAGTATAATTTTTTGGTGAAAGGGGTTCGGGTGAACATAATACTCCCTCCGGTCCAAAATAAGTGATTTTTTAGTTATTTTCACACAGATTAAGAAATCCACCTTTTTTAACATTAATTAGCTATGAAATTGACCATATTAACCTTTACTATCTCTTCACATAAACACTCCTAACACATACTCCAACACTATTTACTCCAAGGGCAATGTAGGAAAAAAATAATTAATTCATTCTTGAAATCTGGAAAATCACTTATTTTGGACCACAAAAAAAGGGCCAAAAATCACTTATTTTGGACCGGAGAGAGTATTATTATTTGGATTTAAGTTAAGTTATATAAGTAGCGATCAACTTGTCTCCGGGTGACATATAGTTCACGAGTTCGAGCCGTAAAAGTAGCTACTAATATTTGTATTAGAGTGGGCTATCTACATACATCACACTGAGGAAAAAAAATAGCATAGGACATGCAGGTTCGGCAAAACCTAGTAACGTTGATCTAAACCATTATTTTGTCTCATTGAATATGTATAAATTACTCCATCCGGTTCACTTTAAGTGATTTTTTGGCTGTTTTTACCCATATTAAGAAATTCACCTTTTAGCATTAATTAACAATATAATTGACTATACTAACATTAATTTGTTATTGAAAACACAACAAATACTCCTAGACTCTTTACTCCAAGGGCAACTTTGGGGAAAAGAAGTTAATTTTTTCTTGATATTTGAAAAAAATATTATGAACTACAAAAAAAAGGGCAAAAAATTACTTAAAGTGGATCGGATGGAGTATTAATTTACAACTCAGTAACATAAACGAAATAGAACTCAGAATCTACAAGCTTCAAATTCTGGCTCCGCCTCTAATCACACTCTTAGAAGTATAGTCCTTTGGCGAATACTTTGTGCATCGTCCTTTTGTTCTATCTAGGGGTGGCAAAATAATTTAAAAAAACAGTTAACCACCCATATTATCCATTAAGAATATGTTGGATGATGAACTTTTTAAACAGATCAAATATGGATAAGAACCATATTATCCATATAGAAAATGGATAACCAATGGGTCTAACTTTTACATTTGTAAAGCCTCAATTAGGGGTTCCTCAAGTTAGGGAGACTAAGAATTCTCCCAAAAGTGATCATATGCAAGAAGTCATGGATAATATGGTTACCCATATTATCCGCCTATTAACCCATTTTTTATCCGTATTAAATATGGATCGGGCCGTATACTTTATTCGTTTATTCATTACCTATTTTCGACCCGAACTATATCCGATCCGACCCGTCCGTTTGTCACTCTTATGTCTATCCATCAACATCTGTACACACGTGATGGGTGAAATTACATTTACGTTCACACAACTAGTGGTCCTTACGTGTCAAAAATTGATAGAAACACTGTGGCGGCTGCGTTTCCTTACTTTTCAAGAATCTGGAAGCCAACTTGCAACTTGACTCTCGCACTTTTGGACGACTTATTCCACCCGAGTCTGTATTTACCTTTTTTATTTTTTCCCAGTATAGTTGACTTCGTGTGTTTGAGCTTGTTCACGGTGTCAACTCAAACTCATGTAAAAGAGGATTAGGGTTATGGTGTTTGGGGGCGGATCCACCTCCCGACCTACGATTCACGTAAATCCAGTAGGTTTTGTCTAAACAGTATAAATGTGTTTGAAAAAATTACTAAATATCAATAAATGTTTGAATGCGAATCCAGTTACTACTTAAAAATTTACTCGAGGTCGTTACAGGAATCCATAAGCATTAATTCTTGGATCCGCCTCTGATAGTGTTGGGTGTTAGCAAAGAGAGTCAATGCGAAGGTTCTGATCGAAGATCTTTGAAAGACATTCTCGGGGCACCATAGCATGTCGGAAATAAGAGGAACATAGTGAACGTAACCATTTTCTTGGTTGGGGCGGTGAGTCTCCTATTTTTTCAATTTTAATTCCCATGTTTATTTTCACTGTGGAATATTTTACTAATTTATGATAAATTCTCACAATACAAAATATATTATTGGGATATGCTCACCTAGGTACGCACTTGAGATTAATGAGTTCAAATGGAACAATACATTAGTGAAGCTTCGTATAAGCGACTTCAACTTTTTGAGATCCACAATTTTGTTATAATTAACAGAAAAGGATAATTTTGTCTATGTGAAAAACTATAGTGATTGTAAACCCAAAAAAAAAAAAAAAGGTGTAATGATAAGCTAAATTTTGAATTAAGAATAAAAAATGCAATAGATTTCCCATCACTACAAAAATAATTTAGCTATTGTGAATCAATTGAATAGATGTTGATAAAGTCAATGTCAACTAGTTCAATTAATTTAAAGAGGAGCAAAGAACATATATGAAATTGCACATGGGATTGATAATAATTGTACTATGAATTATGCAAATATAGCGAACAAGGAGGCAAGGAGCTACTAGGATATGCTACTTTATGTTCACCTTTTGGCCCATTGCTATACAAACAGCCAGCATATAGATCATTATGCACGAAATGTTTGGAAAAATAACAATGTATAATCACGCTCAAAATAATAGCCGAAAAAGTATATTATATATCCCGAAATATTTCTTTTTCAAGAGTACAAATTGATATTAGTAAAACCTTATCATTTTACTTTGAACAAAATTTAGGACACAGGGTAGGTATTTGACCAATAAAAAAGTAGTCTCGAATTGCTAAATTGCTATAATGAGACCTTTTACATAAAAGCAGGTGGCATGCTAAACAAATTAGAAAGGAATTTTTATATTCCTATACCACATAGGAAATCTTTTTACCCTACATGTTTAAGGTTTGAGTAAATTACACTTAGTATACCAAATTACCAATCCTATACCATACTTAATTAAGGGTCTAATTAATGGGCTGTTTTTACTCCTTAATTAAAGGTATCCATATCTAATTAATGGGCAGTTTTTACTCCTTAATTAAAGGTATCCATATATCCCACGTTTCTCTCTCCTTACCCCTCACCCCCCACCCACGTTTTTACCCATATCCCACATTCTTTTTACCATTTTCCCTCTTCTGTAACCAAACAAAATTCCACATCGATTGTGTTCTGCTTTTTCACATCACTGATGAATACTCAACAGTTTAAAAGATAACGGAGAGCCATTATGTATTTTGGAAAGGTCAAAAATGAAAATAAGTATAGCAAACGGTTTAACACTGTTTTGCTGCTAAAACAAGTACCATTCTTTGGTGAATTTTATAACAATATGGGTGTTTTATCAGCAAAACCACAAAAAAAAGCAGGGCAAATCTTCCCATGCAATTGCAGATACGACTCATAGTTTTTCAATATAGATTGTAGTTTAATTGTAGTATAAATGTAGTAGTTTTGTAGATACCCTTAAAAACAATACTGCTTTATACAATACTTAAACTAATTTGAAGTTTATTTGCAGATGTTTTGTAGAAATTTTGTAGATGAAGAGAAAATTTTGTAGTCAACATTTTTTTCCAACATAGATTGTAGTTTAATTGTAGTATAAATGTAGTAATTTTGTAGATACCCTTCAAAACAATACTGCTTTATACATACGTAAACTGATTTGTAGTTTATTTGTAGAAAATTTGTAGATGAGGAGAAAATTTTGTAGTCAACATTTTTTTTCAACATAAATTGCAGTTTAATTGTAGTATAAATGTAGTAATTTGTAGATACCCTTAAAACAATATTGCTCTATAAATACTTAAATCATTACGCAGATGTGCAGTCTTCTTACGGGATGTTGGTGTTATTATCATGGGGAGAATGAAGTTTTGAGAAGAGAAGTCCAAAATAATTTTATATTTGTCATACAAAAATTTTGTGGTCAGTAAGATGCTTGAATTTCATTATGATTGTATTCTTTCGCCCTGGAAATTAGATATACTTTTTCCTTTCTTTTGTTTTATGGTTTTAGAGGAAAAAGGCATTATCTTTCCCAAAAGGGTAAGCGTTTTCTGTAGTAGATATAGAGGTCAGTGGTAGTGTATAACTGTATGTACCAATGCCTCAACTCACAGTGCCTTCTCCTGTATCAATATCAAATATCATGAAGAATGTTCTTGTTCTCGTTCTCCTCTCTTGATGAGAATAGATTGATTCTGGGCTCCTTAAAAATTAAGTCCAACTTCAGCCATGGAAAAACCCATGAAAATCATCAAACGCAACAAAAATCCAGCGAAAACAGCCCCAAAAATCAGAGAAAATCAGCATCAAACTCAGCATTTGCTCGACAGTATTGATTTTTGATGACCTTTTTGTTCGGATCAATGACGGAGAGTTGATACCTGATTTGGAGATGGACGCAGAGATTTTTTTGCTGAATTTTCAGTTAGTAGTGGGGATGAATTTGATGTGAATATGAAAAAATATTTTAGTCCCAAATTTGTAGGCACCTAATTTGAAAGGAATAAGTTATTCAAATATTTGTTCCAGATTTGTAGGCGCCTAATTTGGAAGGAATCAGCTCTTAATATGGGTATTTAATGAATGGTATAAATTTTGTAGGAAAAATATAAACATAGCGGGTAATAATGAAAATATGCACATTTCTGGTAATAAGGTTTCATATATGGTATAGATAGGAAAAAACCTCAATTAGAAAATAATAGAGTGTATACTTAGAGCCCGTTTGGACATAAGAAGTTTTTTACTTTTTTTCGAAATC